ATGCATCTGTGGATGCATGACAAGCTGCGGTTGGCCTTCCTGACTGCATCCCCACACTGCTGGCCCATGTTCATCTTGGCATCAATGATGACTCCAAGATCCTTTTCTGCCTCTGCACTGATGAGAAGGGAGTTCCCCAGCCTGTAGGTCTGCTGCTGGTTCTTCCTCCCCAGGTGCATCACCTTGCACTTGTCGGTGTTGAATCCCATCCTATTCTCATCCGCCCACCCCTGTAACCTGTCTAGGTCTGATTGTAGCCTATTCCTTCCTTCTAGCATGCCCACATCCCCCCACATCTTAGTGTCATCAGCAAATTTGAACAGGGTGCTTTTTACCCCCTCGTCCAAATCGTTGATGAAGATGTTGAACAGTGCAGGCCCGAGGACCGAGCCCTGCGGAACCCCAGTGCCCACATCCCTCCAGGTCGAAAATGACCCATCCACCACCACTCTCTGGGTGTGGCCCTCCAGTCAGTTGGTGACCCATTTGATTGTGTAGGTGTCAGAAGAAGCAGCCAGCCATAACTACTTGTTTTTATTAAAGATTTTTTCATTTGTACCCAATAATTTTCCTGGTAAAATAGCAGTAGTCCAGTGACTGCTGATTCATTTCTATGCAAATATGATGGAGTGAGGGAAGGGTCTTGAGTGGCTTGGAAACAGGGTGCATACTAACTGGAAAATCCAGTTTTTCTTTTGATCTACTCTTAGTAGTGTTTCTTGTTGTGGCAACAAGTAAAAAGAATAGATTCTCTAGTTGTGATTGAATTTAGCCAAACATGATATTAATTAGTTACTCTGCATATAGACTAGAGAATTACTCTGCATACAGACTAGAGAATGTGTATGGCTATAGACATATAGTCTATATGTCTATAGCCATAGACATTTGAGAAAAAAGTAGACTAAAGTTGCATAAAAATCAAAGATATGGATTACGGATTCAGTTTGGGGAAATACAGTAAAAGAATGTTACTTCTCTGACCTGCCTGACCTTTCTCAAAACACTTTTATCCAGACTGAGATTCTTTTCCAATTTTTCCAAGAACACATACACACAGGTCTTGGCCTGTTATTTGTTACAGGTATTACTGTGGGGTCAGATCACTGGACAACCTGTTGAGCCTCTCCAGCTTCAGAAAATTATGAAACACTTTCCTTTTTAACCTCAGTTCATTGGAGTTGGCCAAAAAAGGCTTCTTTTGCAGACCTACTGTTGGTCTTGTGTCCTCCTACCCTCCTTGACTGATCTGGAGTCTCTCTCTCTCTCTCTCTCTCTCTCTCTCTCTCTCTCTCTCTCTCTCTCTCTCTCTGTGTGTGTGTGTGTGTGTGTGTGTGTGTTGGTTTCTGCTGCTTTCCACTGAACTACCCTTTAAATATTCTAAGTGTGCAGGGCTTGGATGCAAAGGACTGTGCAAGACCCAATTCAAATCCACATTTTCTATGGGGATTAGAGATTATCGCATTGTGTCCTGAATAGTCCTGAATAGAGAAGTGCAATTTTAGGCTTCTATCTCCCAGGAGATCTCCATTTTGGATAATCTTGTAGGTGAAGCAGAATCCAAATTCTTTCAGATCAGCCATATATTTTCTGTTAAAATTTGGGCAAATCTCTGACATTGCTTAGGTTTCTTTTCCTTCTTGATATAATAGGGATTATATTTATTTCATAATTGCAATGAAACTAAATGTGTTAGGTTTCATAAAGTGCTCTGAGATTCTAGTGGAGAAGGTACTGCTGGGCCCATGCTGTCACCACCATGCAATCCTGGTCCCAGCCTCATCTGCCTGTCTTGCTCCAAGACGCCATTCCCCACCTGCCTGCGGCCCCATCTCATCTGTCTGGCTAAGTGTGCTCTGCCCGCAAGGGTCCCAGCTGGTCTCCATGGAGACCCTGCCTGCCCGCTCTGTCTGGTGCCCCCAGTGGTGCATGCAGGGCAGAGGGCTGGGGTGCCTGAGCAGTGGGGTTGAGTCTGGCAGCAGCAGGAGAGACTGGCAGTGGGAGCTGGAAGGAGCCGCCACTGCAGGGGCTGCCAGGAAGCAAGTCCAGGAGTCACACTGTCCCTGCCCCACTATGTGCTCCAGGGTGGCAGGACTGGTCTCAAACACCACATCCCAGGATGCCCCCTGTATCTGGGCTGGAGGGACTGAAGGACCCACTGTGGGCCAGTTAAAAAGCCTTGGTAGGCTAGATCTGGCCTGTGGGCTATATTTTGCCCACCCCTGGGATAAAGTCAAGGCTCAGAGCTACTCCCAAATTAAACTTGGGAGGGTATCAGCTAACTAGAACTCCAAAAAGTTACAGAGAGGTCAAGCCATGTAATCGTCATTCTGACACTTCCCACAACAGAAGCCATTTGTTAGCATTTCCCCAAGGCTCAGGGCAAATTTTCAGGTTTAATGCAAGTTGTGGGCAAAGGTTTGGCAGTATGCATATCTTATTCTTTCCAAGCTTGCTGCAGATCTCTGCATGAATTCTCTTTTTCTTTTCTTTACTATTAAAATTATGTAGAGACCTAGAAATATTTAAAATTAAACAAAGGGAAAGGATGACCAAAGTTAGGCAAACATTATGGCCTTCTGATGTAATCACAAACCACTCAAGCTTGGGTCTTATGTTTATTATGCTCAGTATTCCTTGAGTGTTTGCATAGCTTTATTTATTACGGCTCTTTAGTGCTATCTTCTGTCATTACTGTATTCATTATTTTCTGACAGAACCTCATCCCCTTTGCCTTTTTATTACTTCCTTAGTGCTGATGCTCATAGCAATATCAAACCAATGGTGGCAATTAAGTAGCACCACTGCTTGCTTCTTCACAACATTGCCTTCTACATGCTGACCTTTTCTTAGCAAAGTGCTGTACAGTATTAATAGCCTGAAGTTTCCCAGCATTTTCCCTCTGGATATCTTTTCCCCTTGCCCAGTGGGTGACCAGTCAGTTTCAAAGCCAAGTCGACTGGTTCAGAGCGTTTTTCATCTTCAAACACAGCTTTGTAATCTGCAAACAGTGTTCCATGCTAGCTGACAGGTCATGAATCTAACAGAATAGCTCCTCTGGTTAGCAAGATTTTATGTTATGGACAAGATAGGGTCATGTATTTTTAATATGTGAACAACATTAATACTAATCAGGGTAGTCAGAGAGGTGAATTAATCCTTTGTTTTGCAGAGCAATTACATCTTTATTTTCAGTACAGCTGCTAAGTGTTTTACCTGCTACAAAATGAAATTAAAGTACTGTGATTTTTCATGATGCTCTGTGCATTTTCATATGAAGAAAAACCAAAAAATGGGCCTAGCAAACTACGTACATCACCATTGCCACAATGCCATACTAAGGAAGGTCCAAATTCATTGATCCTTTAAAGAGGTGCTATTGATTTGTTTCACAAAATTAATCTACAGTTCATCTATATGGCCATATACATTCATAGTGCCACTGCATCTAAATAAAATCATCATCATCATCATCATCATCATTATTGTAATCCTTGTAATAATAATAATAATAATAATAATAATAATAATGCTACCTCTTGGGAACTTTACACAATTTGGAGGCTGAAGTTGTGCTTGTGTCTTTGTGTGTCCATTGGGCATTCTGTTAGCTTTCTGTTATTTTAGAAAAACAAACATTTTCCCTTTGACACTTCTTTCACACTGAGTAGAACTGGACATGATGAAACAGATTAATCCTGTTCTTTCCAGCCCAAAGGACATGAGACTTCCTACATTATTCCAGAATCCAGTTATCTCCACTTTTGGATACCCCAGTGCCTTGACTCCTGTACTGGGACAATTTATTTCATATTTCCAATTTTTTTGTAATTTTCCCCCCTCTGCTTTACTGTCCCCAAGAATTTAAAAGTCAACGCATTCACCAAATCCAGCTGTAAAAAAAAAGGCAATTCTTACTTGTATTGCTGGGTCCTGTTGATCCCTGTTGTGACTCCTATAATCAGGAAAAAAGCATACCATGTGTTATTATTTATAATGTTTAGATACAACATTCATTGAATATGTTACATTACTGCTACTAACCAGTTTTGTTAATTACTCATTCATTTTATTTACAGCTGCAAGAATAAAATCAAATACTCCCTTGAAAATAAATTTATATTAGGCCTTCATATTCCTCTCACAGCCAAGATAGTTTAATAGTACAGTTTTTTCTATCTTCACTATCAATCTCCAGATTATTATTAACTTATTACTCTACTAGAACTGCAGGGGCTATTACTGCCTACCAGGCTAGGGGAGAACACAGACAGGAAAATGAATTATTATTGGGATCTATTATAATATTCTGGGAGTTGATCCTTCGTCCCTGACCTGAGGATCACAAAAATTGTGTTGACAACAGATCAGGAAATTGGTATCTGAAGGAGAGTGAAAGTTCAGTCTCCATTGCTGAGCCTGGTTCTCCCAAACCAAGTCAGCCTCTTAATCACATCAGCAATATTAATTAATACGCTACAATACACTCCATCAACTTTTTTCATACACAGATAGTCATATACCATACTTACTGAATTTGCACTCATAAAAATGTAAAGTTAATCTACCAATAAAAAAGCAATAACAATATGTCTTTTTTATCTGTATTTTATATTTCAAAAATTAAAAGCAAGAATACCAGGAAAGCAAACAAATATATGTACACATTCCCTTCTGTGTGAACAAAATACAAGCTCCTATAGATTTTGAAATACCATTGGGTGAACCTAAAACCAACCAAAGCTTCAAATATGGCTTAGTAACGTATCCTTGTCTTGTGTATCTCAAACAAGACTTTAGTGGACCAGCAGGTATGTATTTAACAGTGAAGTTTTATAATTATGCTTTATTAGAAATATGTTAAATGTTTTTATAGCAAATTTTGAACATCAAAAAAACCCCACTGTCAGATGTCTGTCTCCAGTCTGAAGTCTTCCAAGTAAATTTGTATAAATTTGCTTTTTAAAAATAGTTCAGTACAATTATGAGCAGTTTTTAGACTTATACACAAAAAGTGTCTGAATGCAGTAACATCATCTTGGTCAAATTGATACATTCCTGTATATCATTGACTTGTTCTTAGCTGCCTCTTACAATAGCTAAATGTGGACTCATGGAGTAAATGAAGATTGCAACTTTGGAGGAATAGGTATATAGAGCAATTCATACAGCCACTTCCAGGCAGAAGTAAAATTTAGGGCTAGAGGCTTAGTGTTAAGTGTTGAACCGAAGGAAGGGCTCAAGGTAGGAGAGTCTCTTTTTTATTGTTATTTCCTGGCAAAAAATGTCATTAGGCTGTCATAGGTTGTAAACACTGATTAATTATTTAAGTGAAAAAGCAGCTGAGAAGTCTGTAGTTTTTCTGAAAAGCAAAAGCATTAGGAAAACAGCACATTCAAAGTGTATGTTCCTCTGCAATGAATAAAGAGAAAACAAGTATAGAAATCCACTCAGCCATCCTTAACTCTTTCTTGTCCCCGGCCCCGAGAGATTCTTCCTGCTCTCCAACTACTACAGCAGGTTGGTAGGCAGCCCCCAAGGGCTGGCTTTGTCGTGGCTCAAATGCCATCTGTCCCTGGCACTCCAACATTTTAGAAGTCGAGGTTGTGGGTGTTTTTGGCACCCTGACCAAAAACATTGCTGACGCCTGCACAACAGGTTTGAATAGAGATTTTATTATAGCAATTTTAAACCTGCTAAGATCTGGATCATCAGGGATCCTGGTTTTCCCTGATTAAAAAACTCATAAATTCTCTGATAAAAAAATTGCAAATTCTCTGATAAAACCCTCAAGATCTGAGATTAAAATGAAAGGCCCCTCACTCCCCACCTCAACAGTTCCCTGGCCCTGCTGGTGCCCCTCGCCCCCCACCCACAGCTTCCTGCTCCCACCCCAACCCTCCCAGAGGGGGCCTCCACCTGCCAGGGCTATGGGGTCAGGGACCCGGGTCTGCAGTCCCCTGTCCCCAGCAGGAGGCAGCAGCTGCTGCAGCAGAGCAGAGCCCGGTTTCCCCCCTGCTGCCTGCCTGCTGCCTGCTGTGGGCTCAGGTGGGGATGGCAGCTCCCTGCTGCTGCATGCACTCCTGAGGGGGGAGGAGTGACCTGTGCTCCCCAGATCTGTGCACGGGGTGGGGGCAGGCACGGGTTACCCACTGCAGTCTTGGGCTCCCGCCCTGCTGCCCTCCCCCAGGGACTCAGCAGCCCAGCAGATGTGACTTGGTGTGGCAGGACACAGCAGGGCCTCACAGGGATCTCCTTGCTGCTGTGAGCTCCACGCTGACCTGGCAACCCATCCCCTGCATGTGTGGGAGCAGTGGGGGCAGTGGACCAGGGTTGTGCCCCTCGCTGCTCCTGCACAGGCAGGGGATCCCTCACCAGGGCAGTGTGGATCTCACAGCGGCAAGGAGATCCTTGTGCTTCCATGCTGTTCTCTGCAGTGCCGGGTTGCACCTGCTAAGCTGGGGAGGCCCTGGGGGAGGGCAGCAGGGCAGGAGCCCAAGCCCACAGTGGGCAGCCCATGGCTGCCCCTGTCCCATGCACAGGTTTGAGGGAAATAGGCCCCCCAGGCCCTCTGGGGGTGAGCACAGTAATGGGGTGCCAGCCTGCCCCCCCAGCACCTCATGGGGGACCCACGGTCCTGTCCTGCTCCCTTCTGGAGCCCTGTGGCTACACATGGCAGCTCCATGCCCCGTACAGCACCTGGCTGGGCAGCAGCCCCAGACTCAGCCCTGCTCAGCTCCCCCCCTATGGGGGCCTCAATCCCACCCTCCCACTTACCTGTAAGAGCTGCTCTCCAGGCTGCCTGGCCATGTGTATATATATGTGCCTATGGTGCCCACTACCTGACAGCCCTCCTCCTGCTCCCCCCCAGCCCCTTGCAGGCTAGAACTCTGCCAGCCTGCAGAGAGCTCTTTGCAAAACTACAAAATCCATGGGTTTCTCCATTAAAATAAGAAATCCACATTTTCCTCTGGTAAAGGGGGAAAATCTGTGTTTTTCTCCATTTTTCCATAAGAAACAGAAAACCTGGATCCCTGATGATCATGTTTCATTCAATTCAGTATGACTTTTTACATTAACTAGAATGACGGCATGATCATGGTCTAAAGGCTCAATCCCAAGCCACTTCTCAACATCTTTGATTTACAGTGATGTTTAGAGCATTGACTTGGGGTTACTTGGAATTTGAACGCTACATAGACTTTACATTTGAAGTCGGGGTCACTGGACTTCCTCAGCTCTGGTTTGAGATCTATTTATCTGTAGTATGCACCTGTTATTCACTGCTAAGCAATGTACCTGAAATGTACCTAATTTTTAATCTGGTTCTAAGAAGTTTAGAGCTCTGGACATAGTACCTAAAATCTACCCAGTCCCACAATATGACATCCATTTTTTTTAACATTGGAAATGGTCTACTTTTGAGGAACTGTTCTATCATTTAACAACCACTTCTGAGGCTTCCATTACAAAGTTGGAGAAAAAAGGGCATCTGTGCCCTTTAGAGAGAAAGCACAGACTAGACCCTACCCCCTGACCCCACCCTACTCCAGGATATATAAGTCTACTTCCATGCTGAGCCAGGGAATTGCCTTTGGGGCAGCCCACATTGCAGCTGAAGACTGATGGTAGTGGTCTTAAGCTGAGACATAGCCTAAGAGAGGAGCTGTGGCTTGGGGAATTAGTGGAAGCAAGGAAGCTGGTGGCAAGTGACATAATCTGGAGAAGGGCTTAGAAGAACATGGTCAAGTATTGGGGCAAAAGGTGCTGAGAAGTGTGAGGCACCTCCTGCATAGGACTGCTGAGGGCAGTGGCACTATGGAATGACTACTATAGAAAGCAACACTTGAGAGCTTATGGTAGGCCAGCAGCCATGAGAGGACTGTTGGCATGATGGACTGGCAGCCCCCACATGGACTATCAGGTGGTGTATGATGAAGTTGCACATGGACTATCAGGTACTAGACAGTAGGGCTGTGCAAAGCTTTGGTCCCTAATTCTATTTGGCAGAGATTTGGCCTGATTCAGTGGCCAAATCGCCGAATCCAAATTGAATCAGAGGACTCTTTAATCTCTCCAAATTGAATCGGAACCCTCTGAATCGATTTGGAAAGATTCAGCGGTTCGAACATAGAGATAACTTTAAATGTTTTTTGTACATACCTCACAGTACCAGGTGGATCATGAATGCTGTGATGGTGGGGCAGATGGAGCATCCCATAGAAGTGTGGGGGGCTCCCAGTGTGTTGGGCAGCAGACCCGGAAGTGGACCAGAAACACTTCTGGTCCACTTGCGGGTCCGTCAGAGACTGTGCTGCGGGGGGCCCCCTGCACCTCCCTGGCTTAGCGACTGGTGCCTCCTGGGTCTGGGGGGCACCCAGGGTCCCCTCATGACCGAGCGCTGGGCTGAGGGGCATGGGGAGGGGCCCCTACCATGCTTCCTGGTGGACCCAGAAGTGGACCGGAACTATTTCCGGTCCATTTCTGGGTTTGCCACCGAGCATGTGGCCCCCCCTGTCCCTTGCTCCTGTGGAACACTCCATGCACCCCAGCATTGCAGCATTCACAAGCCACACCTGGTACCCTGAGGTATGTAGAAAAAACATTTAAAGCTGTGTCTATGTCCGAATCGCTGATTCTCTGAGTCAGCATCGAATCTTCAGATTCGGATTTGGCCGAATCGAGGATAGTGATCTGAATCAACAAATTGAATCACTGTCCCTGATTCAGGCTGAATCTGAATCGAATAAGGCCTGTTTTTCACACCCCTAGGAGACAGTGTCCTAAGCGTGAGCTATTTGAGATGCTTTATTAGTGGGCTGGGCTATTAGCTTGCTGAGTCTGGAACCCCGGGGAGAGGCCCAGCAGGCTAGCAGGCTGGGAAGCCTGGGGAGAGAGCAGCTTAGCAGAGTTGCAGGTCAGAGGCAAAGGAGGCTAAGGAGCCCAGAGAGAAAA